TGGGGAAAGGGAATTGATAATTCTGTGTTAGAAGTTGTGACAAATGAAAGTAAAGCCATTCATTATTTGACTAATACCAGAGATTTTAGAAGGTTCAGAAAAAAAGATGGGTGAGACCCCATGGGTTGAATTTCTAGAAAAAGTTGGCCCAAGAGGGCATGGGAGTTTATGTATGAATTTCCGTAATGAAAACAGAAATGATGACACTGGTTTTTTTTCTTTTGTTTTGTTTTGGCTAGGCAATGGGGTTAAGTGACTTGCCCAGAGTCACACAGCTAGTAAGTGTTATGTGTCTGAGGCCAGATTTGAACTCAGGTCCTCCTGAATCCAGGGCCGGTGCTCTATCTACTACTCCACCTAGCTGCCCCGATGACACTGTTTTTTTAAAGAGAAGTTGTCTACAGAAATTGATGTGGATGCACAGGGTACTCAAATGTTTTTTTTTAAGTAATTAGAAGATTCAGGCAAGAGAAGGCAATGAAAGATGAATACAAAAGAGAATAACTAGCTTATGATAACAGGATAAGGAGTACAAAAGCTGAAATGAGCTGAGTTAGTGATTTTAAGGTTAACAAGAAGAGCTTCTTTAATTATGCTGGGGACAAGAGGAAGGATCCTTACTTTGGATGGATACAACAATGATAATAGATGGTGTATCAACTCTGATTTTGCTTTTGTTTTCTTTGCCAAGGAGAATGATTTTCGGTCTGGTGAAATGCTACTCTTTCACACCACTTAGCAGCTTTAAAAATTTGCTTTAGAAAGCCAATAACCCAATGACCACACTAAAAGGACAAAAGACAGAACGTGCACAGAACTTAAGTATCTGAAGCCACATTTATTCAAATGAAATTTTGGGTTGTCATTAGCTGATTATTGGTCTCACACCAAGATGCAGGATCTTGGCTACTGATCAGTATCATCCCTGGGCACTTCCAGCTAGGAGAAAATTCCACCAGGCCCATGGAATCTCTGGCTCCAGGTCTACTTCTGAAGTCACTGGTTTAAGGGCCACTAACTAGGATGTAGGTCCACCAATAAAGCACTAGCTCAAGGGTGAGGATTCCTGAATCTTATGTACTGTACAAGAGAAACCTCAGCTCCCTACATAGACTACAACATAGCCAACAAATTTTCCTACTTCTCAATTTTTCCTTATACTTTTGAGCATTTTAAGTGGTGGGGAGAAAAAATGTCATTAGCTATTGTCTCCATTCTCCATGCTTTAGCATTTTTGAGCCTCACACTTGGTTGAGGGGATAAAGAAGGGTACGAAAAAGGAAAAGCAAAGGGATCACCTGGGTCACCCCTTGACTTTGGGCTAAAGTCTGTGAAATGTCCTTATCTGTATGTGTCCAGGGCTTCACAGATAGCATCATTTATACAGCTGTAGCTCCTTGGGTGTGTGGACAAAGGTCCTCATGGCTCAGATGTACAATATTAGCAAATGGCAAAGAAATAAACAAAAGAATCACCATCTAGATAGACTCTAGATAGTTGATCAAAGGAATGCTACAGATATAGCATGTCTAGATTACAGCAAAGCACAACAAAAACTCTTATGTTATCTTAATAGATAATTATGTCAGCTAGATAACAATATCATGTTTCAAAAATTATATGGACCCAAGAGTAATCATTAATGGGTCAACAGCAATTAAGAGGAAGGTTTTTAGTATAGTGCTCCCAGGGATCTTACTGGTATAACATTTATATCAGTGACTTAATTGAAAACTTAGATTTCAGCTTATTATGCACTTATGTGTTCTAGGCATACAAAAACAAAAATGAAATATATCTGCATTCAAGAAGCTTACTACATTCTCCTGGAGAGATATGACACATATAAAGATAAGTAAATACTTGGTACTTTCAAGAGAGAGAGAGAGAGATCTTTGACATGGAGGGCTTCACTGAGAAGGTGATATACAAGCTAAGTCTTGAAAGAAAAAATAACAATTCTGAGAAATGGAGATATGGACAGTGCATTTTTCTCAAATTTGCAGGTTAAGTGAAGTTAGAAAAGTTAGAATAGAGTGAGATGATCTTAATAAGGCTTGAATGATGAACTTCAATTTAAAAAGATAAAATTTCATAAGGATAGTGTATAAGCCCTATAACTCTGTTCAAAAACATAAATTTCACAAGTATGGGATGGCATTACATAGAAGTTCCCATTAAAAAAAAGATCTGGGGGGTTTTAGTAGACCCCAAGCTCAATTTCAGTCATTAGTTTAATATGGCAGCCAAAAATATCTAAACTAGATATAGCCATATTTTCTAGAAAAAGAAAATTAGTCCCCTTTATGCTCTTCCCTTATCAGTTCACTTCTGGAATGTTATGTTCAATTCTGGGCCCAATATTTTAGAAAAAAAGTTGATAAGCTAGAGAGTATAAAGAGGACGGTGACCAGGATGCCAAAAGAATTAAAGTCCATCCCACATAAGAATTAGAGAAAGGAAATGGGGGAATGTACCCTGCAAAGGACCAGAGAACTACGAAAGGACATAGCAGCTATCTTCAAGTGTTTGAAGGACTACCACGTGACTCCAGAGGGCAAAACAAGGAAACAATATGTAGAAGGTTCAGAGAGGCAGATTTTGGCCCCTTGTCAGGAAACATTTATAACAATTAGAGTTGTGCAAATGTGGAATGAACTTCCATGAAAGATTCCAGGTCCCTGCTCGTTGTAGATCTTCAAGGGAAAATTGGATCCTTATTCACATGGGATATCATAGAAGGAATTCTTATTTAGATACAGGGAAGAATAAAAGGCCTCTCGGGTCCTTTCAGCTCCAAGATTCTGATTCTTTGCATAGAGCAATTTATATCACATTTCTTTGCTGATAGTGTATCATCTTCATACATATGCAATGGCATATTGCATAATTTTTCTTGACAATTTTTGAGTTTTCTTCAGTTTTTTTTTTTGCCCCTTGTATCCTTTAAATAGTTGCCTGTGGAAATCGGAGTTCATTATATCAATATCTTTTTGACTTTGAGGATTCTCCAAGTGTCGGTTATTATTTACTCACCACTCAAAAACATCATCACACTCTACTAAGCACTGTATAGCTCAAAATGTAAAGGGAAAAACCATTGGAGAATCCAGGCATTTATCAAGAGAAGATAAACTAGAGGGAATACAATGTAAATAACTTATGTAGTTATATATTAATGAGTATACCTACTAATCCAAGGGTTCTGAATGTAGGCTTCATGAACTTGATTTTTAAAAAATGATTTGGTAGCTATGTTTCTGTATAATTGGTTTCCTTCATAATCCTTTATTTTATGCATTTAAAAACAATATTCACAGAAAGTCTTCACCAAACTGCCATAGGGGTCCATATCATTAAAAAAAGGCTAAGAACTCCTGAAATAGAATCCTTGAGTATAGAGAGCATGTTTTATTCTTTTTTTTAATTCCCTATAGCACATACATTACAATAAAAACTCATTTATATTATAATTTACCAATCAACTTCCCCGCAACAACCTGTAAGGTAGGGAATACAAGTATTATAATCCTCATTTTGCAAATGAAGGGAACTGAGACTCAGAAGATTATTACTTAACTGAATTCACACAGATAACAAATTTTATATCCTTCACAGCTGCTAGTACCACTCCATAAGAGAGGAAGGAAATAAGCATTTATATAGCACCTACTATGTGCTAAGTACCTTTAAAAAAAAACCACCTATCTCACTTGATCTTTACCAACCCTGAAAGGTAAGTACTATTGTTATCCCAATTTTACAGCTGAGGAAAGAAAGCAAAAAGAAAGAAGTAAAGTGACTTACCCAGGGTCATAGAGGTAGTAAGTGTCTGAGGCCAGATTTGAATTCAGCTCTTCCTGATTCCAGGCCCAGCACTCTATCCACTGAGCCACTAAGCTGCCTCTAAGAAGTATGAGGTCGAAGGCAGTAGTCTCTTAATAAAGTTGGAGGGCACTTTTGTCTTAGGATCTAACTAGATTTAGACTAAGAGGACATGGATTTAGATCCTGACTCTCCTATTTAATACCTGTATTACCTTGGGTAAGGCAGGACTCAGTTTTCCCATCTGAAAATTGAAGTGGTTGGACCATATACTTTGGATGCATTTTTGGTCTAAATTTTAGTCACTGTCAGTTCTAAATCAATGGTCCTATGATAAGCTTGGTAGCCTTCATAGCAGTAGCATTAAGTTTTGACTTGGACACATTTCCCTTGCTACTTTCTGATTAAAGGAACCACATGAAGTAAACAGACACCATACCTCCATATGGCAAGGAGGGGTTCTTCAGAACTTGACTTAAGATTGCAGCCTTTCCTTTCATTCTTAACCAGGTAAAACTTGATGTCTGAGAAAAGAGTAGCTCAAGCATTATAGAATCCTTAAGGATTCTTAATTGGTTGAAAGATTGAGATAGCATGAGGACCCAAACAAAAGCTAAGCCTCCTCCATCATCTGTTCCCCTCCCCACTCATTCTAAAGCAGTGGTTTTAAAAGCCTTGACTGAAAAAGAAGTACCACCACACTAATATGATGATTGGTTACCTATTTAAAAACTGTTCTGTAAATATTACAGGATAGACCACTGAAGTCCTCTTCTAATGTCTCATGAATAAGTATATCAGTGAAAAAGCAACTATTCAACACCTCTTACGTGACAGCAGTGGTAGTAGGCACTGATAATACCAATACAGAAAGTAAGCTAAGGTCCTTGCCTCAAGCAAGATAATTTTGATCCAGTTTAGTGCACAGTCAAAAGTCATGTCCTTTGCAGAGGTTTGATTACTATTCCCTGAGTAAGAGGTTAAAAGAAGGGAGATGGGTGGAGAGCAGAGGGACTTAGATTTATGTCCGTGGGAGCAGGGCAGATGGCAAGTTCCCTAGGGTGGATAGGGATGGCTAAATGGGACCAGTTAGATTTAGTGGGTTGAGTTCACACTCACCAGTCAGGACACCTGTACTCTAAGATGGTCCAAAGCTTAATGGATAAACTGGTTGTGGGGTGGGGAAGTACTGAATAATCTCTGGAATTCCAGTCTGGAGAATGTTGGTCCCTGTGGGGAGAAGAATGGCAGCTTCAGGACATATGGCAAGGTGCCCAAGGTGAATAACTGGATGGGATGAAGCATGAGATGACTCTAGGTTTTCTATACCTATTCCAGAAGAATATAAACTTTAGCAGATTCTTTGCAAGATGGTAAGGCTACAGGTGTGGTCTAATGATGAGCTGAATGTCTGTTCTCTAAGAATCTGTCTAACGGAGAGGCTCATTACCATTCTGACCACTGGGTGATGAGTTCTTCAGGCAAAGCAACTCTTGGAAACAGTGTACTGTGGTGAAGCGGGGTGGTGGTATACATTTTATTGTTGGTTAGTCATTCAGTCATATCTGACTCTACATGACCCCATGAACTTTGTCTATGGAGTTTTCTTGGCAAAGATATTAGAGTGGTTTGTCATTTCTTTCTCCAGAGTGTCCCTATGTTACAGATGAGGAACTGAGGCAAATAAGGGTTAAATGATTTGCTCAGGGTCACATAGCTAGTAGGTGTCCAAGGCTGGATTTAACTCAGATCTTGGCTCCAGGCCCAGTGCTCTGATGATATACATTGGGAGATGTCAAAATGTAGTTTAGCTCTTGGCCCTGTGAAGTGTTTTACCTCCTACTCCCTTTTGTCTGCTACTTTTTTTTTTTGCATTATCTTCTTTAAAACCAGCTCTTTGAAAACAGGGGCTGTTTTTTTGTTTTTTGTCTCCCCCCCCCCTTTTGCTTACCCCTGGAACATAGCAAGCACTTAATAAATACTTCATTTAAACTTTATAATTAGTAGAGGGCATATCAACCCTGACAAAAATCACAAATGTTTGTAGTATTAAAAACCAAAAAAAAGTTTGTCTTTTAGGGTAAAATGAATCCAAAGAATTAACTGCATTCTTTAGGTACCTTCCTAAATATGGAAATTTCTTCTTTAAAGAAATAGAAACACTTATGTTGCACACATATCACTTTTTTGATTGATTATATTTTTCTGTTCTAATAACATAAATTTCATTTTTATATCCTTCTCTAAGTCCTTTCTTCAGTTCAATAAACATTTATTAAGTCTGTGTAGGCATGCGGAGCACATACTTAGTGCTGGTGGAGAAAAAAAGTCATATCAGACTGAGTCCCTGCCCTTTCTTCTCACCTGTAGGCCTCGATAGGGTTATTCTGAAAGCTTAATTGATATTTACCACATTTCAGTGGAACTTTTCCTAAATTTTATTTAGGTAATCTTTTGAAAAAAAAATGGAGTTGCATTTTTGTATCTATTCTGTAGGCCCAGGTCTCAGCATTTCTGAAGGTTTTACATTCTAGCGATTAGAGTATTATTAATCAAGGGCATCTTTTTTTTTTCATCCAACTTCTTAGCTTTGATTATTGGTGCTTAGAAGTGGCATGCCTTCTCTGATTTTGTTGGAGGAAGTAATATAGTCAATAATTTCTTTAAATTGCTGAAATTCTATATCTGTGTAAATTTTTTTTAAAGTGAATTCTAAAGAGGCTTAGAGATATAAACTGAAACAAATTATTTAATTCTCCAGGCGTAAAAATATAAACTATTCAGAAACATCAAAATCTGACAGTGACAATTTTTTTTCAATATGATCTTGTCTTATGTAACTTAGTATCCCTGATTACAGTGTCTTACATATAGAATTATTTTTAAGGAATATTTAGGGAACAATTTAAGTGGTAGGGAGAGAGTACGTTAATATAGGGGTATTGTCCCCAAAATAAAGAGATTCTTTGAGACGCTACAAATACTTGTTAAGAATTTGATACTATATACGGCCTGAAGTCTGAAAAGGGATTAAGCTTAATAGTGCGTGCTCAGTCAGGACTAGTGGTCCATAAATTTAAATTATAGAAAAAAGACTACTAACATCATCACCTCATTCAATAATTAATTGTAATTAGCATTTATATAGAGATTTAGGGTTTACAAAGTGCCTTTCATGTGGTACAAGCCCTTATTAGCTCATGCCTAGGCTATTGCAATAGCCAGATGATTGGTCTTCCTGCCTCAAGTCTCTCCCCACTGCAGTCCATCCTCCACTCAGCGTGAAAGGAATAAAGTTTAAAATCCTTTCTGGCATTCAAAGTCCTATGTACCCGGCCTCTGCCTACCTTTGTTTTGCCCTCGAGAGCAGCACAAGTTAAATCAGTTTATTATTATTATTATTATTATTATTATTATTATGGTCCCTATCATTATGATTTACTGTTTTTGTTTCTCTCTCTCTCTTAATAAGACATCATAAATTCTTTCTTTATAGCTATACCTTGCCCATTTTATCTTCTTTGCTTAATCTTAACCAGCTTCAAAGTCTTGCTGTGGCACGGTATTGCTTTGTTATCTTTTTCCCAGTTGTCCCTTAGTAAAGATATCTCTATTTCCCTGTTACTTTATGTTATCTTTAACCAAATGTATATTACAGTATCATAATCATTTCACATTTGTATGTTGCTTTACACTTACAATGCATTATTTCATTCAATTCCCATAACCTAAAGGGTCAATAGTGTAAGTATTCTTATCGCCATTGGATAGAGGATGAAATTGAGGCAACAGAGTGATTCGTTAGTTGTAGAAATGTTTAGAAACAGTATTGGAACGTAGTTCATCTTTTTTTAAATTTGTCACTTTATTTGGGTTTTTTACATTATTTTGTTTATGATAATTTAATTATAAAAATTGATTTTCCCCTCCTACTCCCTCTATTAAAAAAACTAAACTAAAATCTGTATGCCTAATGTATAGTCAAGCACAATAAATTCCTGTATTGACTAAGTTCAAAAAATGTATTTCTTAATCTGTACGCTGAGTCCGCTGCTTCTCCTTCAGGAGGCAGAATATGTCATGATCAGTCCTCAGAAATCATTATTGGGCACTGCATTGGTCAGAGTTCTTATGCCTTTCAGAGCTGATTATTGTTCTTCTGATTCTGCTCACTTTACTCTGCATCAGTTCATACAAGATGCAAGTCTTCTCATGTTTCTCTGGCACCATTTCCTTCATCATTTCTTACAACACTAATATTCCAATAATTCATATATCGTAATGTTTTTAGTCATAACCTGATTTGTTGGCACCCTCTTGCTTTCTGGTTGTTTGTTACTGGAAATGAAGCTTCTAAGTATGTTTTTGTACATATGGTACCTTTTTAATTCTTCTTCGATCTCTTTTGGGGCACAAGTGGTGGTATATCTGAATGAACCCAGTATCATCTAGTTCCAAGTCCAGTGCTCTACGCAGTGAAAAAGCAGGGGATCTGGAGATGGAGTGTTACGTACAAGGAATAGCAAGTTGGCTGTAGTCTGCCCTGACTTTGGAACATGTGTGTAGGTCTATGATTCACACTCTCTGCTATATGTGTGTGGCTCAGTGGATAGAGTGCCAGGCCTGGAGTGAGGAAGACCTAAGTTCAAATCCTACCTCAGACACTTACTAGCTGTGTGACCCTGAGTGAGTCACTTAACCCTGTTTGCCACCGTTTCCTCATCTGTAAAATGAGCTGGAGAAGGACATGGCAAATCACTCCAGTATCTTTGTCAAGAAAACCCCAAATGGGATCAGGAAGAGTTGGACACAACTGAAATGAATGAACCAAAAGCTCAAGGAACAACAAATGGGCTATTGTCTGCACCTAATTTTGGCAACACACAACTAGGTCTGTGATTCATATCTTCTGCTATTCTTGCCAGCCCTGACAGCAGGAGTCCTACAAAAATCTTGTCATCAGAATTTAAGTAATATAAGTAACCTTTAGTTTCTACTCTTCTCCCTCACTAAAAAAATAATCATGATAAAAATGCCAACATCCTTTAGCATATGGATTCTATCATCCTTATAACACAGAGGTTCCCAAACTTATTTGGCCTACTGCCCCCTTTTCAAAAAAAAAATTACTCAGTGCCCCCCCCCCCGGGAAATCTACTTTCTTTAACCCTTTAATGGTTTTTTTTTCCTTGATATTTGCATCATTTCAAAAAAATAATTTTTTAAAAGTGATGCATCTTAAATTTAATAATTTGTTGTAAATTTGTGGGGTTTGTTCTTGAGTTGAAATTTTAATGATGCAGTATTACATCATGTAACCATATAGTATCATATTGTAAACAAATCATTACATGCACATATTCCTGCCAATACACTTTGGACTTCCCAATAATGCACTACATGCTCACCTACCAACACTTGCTTATTAAGACTTGTCTGTGGATTTGACCACTGATAAGTTATAACTTGCATTTTGTGTGTTTGTTTGGAAAATAACGTAATCACTATGACTTCAACTACGATGGATGAAACATGTATGAATGGTTTTTCAGAATTTATCTTCTCTTCTTTCCTTCTGCTTCCACCACCCCCTTATTTTTATTCAATACCCCACAATTGCAATGGAGGCTATTACTGCCCTGCCTGGATCACTCCAGCGCCCCCCAGAGGGCCATATTGCCCACTTTGGTAACCTATGGATAGCACATTAAAGTCCCTTCATCACATTGGCTATTTCACCTTTTTCCCTGTCTCCTGGAAAATAGAAGCCAAACTCTTATGCCAACAGCCCTCACATATTTTTGTAAAAGCTTAAATATCATATCTAGGAACTCTTTTTGTCTTCAACAACTAGACTGTGCTGTTAAATATTCTTTGCAGTAATGACTGGTGTTAAATCATTTGCATCCCCTAATGAAAACCCAACATGAGCACACAAAATTTCCCCCTTTTATGAATCTTTTCTTGATCACATACACACACAAAATCCCTTCCCTATGATGTTTGGTTTCACTTTTAATACCATCTTAACCTGTCCATTTCACCTCTCTACACTCCACCTTAAGTTTACCACCGCCGTCCCTTTTCCTGTCCTCTTTTGTGGATTTCCAATAGAGCTCTCTTCTGAACAGTATTCCCTCATCTTCACTCAGTAAAATCTACCTTTGTCCTCTTCACTTTTTGAGGGGGGTTTGTTTCCTGGTCATTCCTAGCAATTTATTGATTCTCTTCTCCTTGTCCCCCACATCTGAAATTATCTTCCTGATTTTTTTCAGTCTCAACATGAAGGTCTAGGTGACCATTATTTGATTTCCTCTTTCTTACTGGATCCTTGAAACTGTGCCTGCTTCATTTTATTTAGAAGGAATGTGGGGGCAGTTTGCAGAAAAATAGTCTTCTTTTGTCATAAAGATAATGAGGTTTCCCATTTTTATAGAAGTACTGCTGTTCTTTTGCCTTCTACCACGGAAAGCTTTTGCTGACTATGCATTACATCTGGAAGATTTCTTATACCACACTGATGCCATCTTTTTTATTATTGTTAAGTCACTTTCAGTCATGTCTGACTCTCCATGTCCCCTTTTGGGGTTTTTTGACAAAGATACTAAAGAGTGGTTTGCTATTTCCTTCTCTGGCTCATTTTACAGATGAGTAAACTGAGGCAAACAGGATTAAGTGACTTGCCCAGGGTCGCCCAGCTAGTAAGTGTCTGAGGTCAGATTTGAACTTCCAGACCTGGCACGCTATCCACTGTGCCACCTAATGATCACCATAGATATTAAGGGACAGCCTTTTTTTTAACCTGTCCCTTAATATCTATGGTGATCATTTTTTAAGCCAAAAAGCAAGACATATGGTCTGACAAAGCATATTCTTTTTACAAAGCCCTATTAAAAGTATAAATATATGTGTGTGTGTGTGATATGTATGTATAGTATATGTATATATTCATACATGTATAGTATATATATATATGATGCATACTTCATACATACACACACATACACTAGATAGATTTTGTTTCTGAGACTAGATCTCTCTATCTCATCCAAGCTGAAAGGAAATGTGCTATGTATGGGCCCAACCACATGGCCATTCAGTAAGGAAGTTTCATTTTTCTGACTTAAGCTGGATCAACCTTCCTTAAGTAGCCAGGGGGCTACCTGTATTTATTGATGCAAGATTTATTGAAAACATCTGATCAGTTTAGCCTTACTTCAGCTCAGAATTCAGGGTTCCACTAGGGTCAGCATGGGACTGCAAGGATGTGCCACCACACCAGCACACTAAAAAAAAAAAAAAGATGATTTTTGCTAACTGTACCTGTATATTACCCTTTTCTGTTCCCCACATGAAAATCAGCCCCTTTGCCAAATTTAGATTCTGTCCATCTCAGAGCTAGAAAAGATCTTGTATGTCATTTAGACCTCATTTTTAGGTGAGAAGACTAGAGAGATACATCATCGCTTGCTACAGTCGCGCAGCTAGTCAGTGACAAAATCGGGGCTAACCCAGGGTTCTTTCCTCTATGCCACATTCTATTTCAGGCTTAGCTTTATAGTTTCGACTGGAAAATGTACCCTGCTGTTTTCACTGGGATTGTTAACACATCTCACAGTCTCTTTAACTAAACCACAATATCTCCTACCATCGCTGCTTTATCCCTGAATTTTTTAGCTTTGGTTTATTAAGTGGAAGCATTCTGTTTTTGTTTTCTTCCTTCCGATAATCCTGTCCCTTTTCCCCCTGGTATAGTCAACAAGGTAAAATCAACTTCTCTGGGAGAAACATCAAACTTAATCCCAGGGATGTGGTTTGCTTAAAGCGTTCCTCCAGAATTCGTCTGACTTTTATGAGTCAGGGAGCCTTGCTTGGTGGCTGCTCTCATCCTTTTGCAAAGCAGATTCTTTGAACAAATCTCTTAAGCACATCTTCCTGTTTGTCTCCTCCTTTACACGTGCTGCATAGTCTTTTCTCTCCTATGGCCCCTTTTACTTTCTTCCCTTATTTTCTTTTAAATCTCTTACTTTCACTCTGCCACAGTTCTGGTTTTTGTTTTTGTTTTTTTTCCTGGCTTCTCTTTTCTTCCAAGTTCCTATTTGCAGCAGATATTCACTGTGCCTGTAACCAAGGCCAAGGGAAAAAATAGCACTCAGCACACCAAACTCCCACGGTTTGTTCCTTAAGCTTTAGCAGTTTTTCTACCTTCAGATTCATCGTGACAAATGCCCACATCAGGGTTTCACTGTTCTTCCCTGTCTCTTTGTCTGCTTGCTTAAATTGCTGCTCAGTCCCTTCCTAGCCTGGATAGTCTTAAGGGTTTCTTCCCAATATTCTACCATTCTCACAGGTAATGTTTATTTTAGTCCATAGGTTAAGAGATGCATTATGTTATTGGGAAAAGGTGGTTGGACTGTCAATCAGTAGAAATGGATTCTACCATTAATTATAAGCATACTCGTGGGCAAACTAACTTATTGACCTCATTTTCATCTGTATAAGATCATCTTTGAACTGAATGGTAGAATTTTTATAATTTCTGCCGATTATAAAAATTCTATCATACAGTCCAAAGATGATCTTATACAGATGAAAAGGTTGAAAAGTTAGTGTATATATGAACACATACACATATATACACATATACACAGATATAGATATAGATCTGAGTTAACATCCTGCCTCAGACATGTATTGAGTAAATGACCCTGTGAAAGTCACAGCCTCTTAGAGTTTTAAATAAATATCTATGACAGATAGTTGCAGGGAAGGTGCCACCCTGTATGAGAGAGAGAGAGAATTTCTTCCTTCTAGGAATAAAGTCCTAAGTCCAGTCTCTATGCCTATTACAGATTTATATTCCTTCCCAAGTCTAAATACTTGCCTTCCTCCAAAAAATTAAAACCACTCATCCCATGGCAGTTGTCTATAAACAGAATGGCCTCTACCTTCAGTTTCTTTCTTCAGTTTTTCTACTTCTTTGTCTGTGTGTAATAGGTTTAATTTCTGCCCCCCATCTCATTCCAATGCTATTTATTTATTTATTGTAATTTCTGTTTTGTTGCAAACCATACTACCTTTGTGTCGCTTTAACTAGTGCTTCATAGCTTCCAGCTTGCTTCTGAGTTCTTTTTCTTCCTCGTTTAATTCCTTTCTTCTCTTTCCATTTCTCAGGTTCTGTGACACTCCCCACTCTATCTCAATCCTCCCTCTCCCTTCCTTCACTGTTTTTCAGCAGATCTTGTCGGGAGCTTGTTGACCTCTCTCTCAATTTCCGCAGATGTTTTTTCTTCTCCTGCTTTCCTTTTAAGCAAGCCTGCCCTGTTTTCTTTCCTCTGCATGAGTGCTCTCTCTCTCTCCTCTCTCTGTGGTTCTCTTCCTGCACCACTTATTCATCCTGAGTTACTTTGTTTTCCTTCTTTTCCCCCCGCTATGACCTGAAATCCATCTTCATTTCCCCACTTGTAGTCCCAAAGCACCTTTTAATGCCTTCCCCTGCTCACAGAACCCCAGGTGGCTTTCTTTTATTTTTAGCAGCTGTTACAATCATAGTTGTTTCATTCTCTCCCTCCAGCCCCCCACTTTTGCACTGGCTCAGCTGTGCCTGCCTCCTTTTTTTTTTACTGTGAAATGGGCGTAGGTGGTTTTAGTAAATGTGTACTTCCTTGCCGCAGAGGTTATGTACCACACTCTTTTGCAAGCAGGGGTTGCTGCGTCCTTGTTCTCCATACAGAAAACTCTTCTCCTAATTACATGCTGCACTCAGATGATTTCTGGAGGCATTATAAATAGCCTGTCTGGCTGTCCCCTATACCAGCTAAAGTGACTGTCCCTATGTGGAAAAGCATCTGGCAGGTGGCTAATACCATATACCTCCTTACCGTAGCTCTGTTTCACACTCCTGTTCTCCAATCCAAATCCTAAAATTCTCTGCAATTTTCCCTGAGGCTCTTAACTCTATTTAAGCAGGTCACAATATTTCCTTGGTTCAGGGCAACCAGGATGGTGAGGGGGGGAATAGAGAATATGCTGTAGGAAAATCAGTGGGAGGAACTGGGGATTTTTCTCTTGGAGTAGAAAAGATTTACGGAAAACATGATAGCTGTCTTCAAGTATTAGAAGCACTGTCATGTGCAAGAGGGATTAGAATAGAATCATTCTCCCTGGCCCCAGAGGGTTGGACAAGGTACAAACAGTGGTAGATGCAGAGAGGCAGATTCTGGTTCAGTGTAAGGAAACATTTCCTAATGATTACAGCTATTGGACTAGATCACCTCTGGGGGTCCTTCCAACACTGGAATTTTGTGATATATTTTTTTTCATGCCTGAGGAAAGCAAAGCATCTTTAGCTTTGGCCTGCTCAGTGAGGGAGATCACCCCAAAGTTCCTCCAGCAAGTATAGTCTTTTTTCCCCGGTATCAAAATAATCCTAGTTTATCTGCTAATACCTATATCAATTTCTTTGTCATATCAAGTATAAAAACAAAAATCAAATTCTTTGCTCACAAGCATGTGGATTAAAATGTCCCTGTGATTTTAGTTCCAATTGAATTATCAGGGTCACCACAATTTATTTTGGTGGGATGGCTGTCCTCAGTCTTATTTAGCTAGTCCTCAACATGAGTGGTCCCTTCATTGGGTCCTCCTGCTGTCCTCCCCAAAACTGCATAGGTTTTTTTTCTTTGCCTTCTGTCCTTACAGAAGGTAAAACAGAAATATAAGTAGCATCTCTCTCTATTTCCCTTTTCATGATGATCCCTCTTCTTGCTATCATGCTCTCAGCTCTTCAACTTAATTGGAGTGTTTCTCTCCTAAAGAATTAAATGGTCAACAGCTGACACTAACTGCACCCCCCCAACCCCTGAAAAAGTTTTCCTTTGAATATCCAAACTCCCATAGTTCAGCTACTGCTTCTGTCTTTGGCTCTCTTTTTGTCTATTTTTCTTTTTTTGGTTCTGTATGACATAGCAAGAATCATAACAAAGGTAAGGTAAATGAGGCTCTTGACTAGGGTGTACAAACTAGAAGGGTGAAGAAAAAGATATACGAAGATAAAAATGTAAATAAATATAAATTTTAATTAAGTATAAGTATAAATAAATAAACATAAAAAGATATAAAATATGGAGCTACTATCTTAAGTGCTGCCATGCCTTTGTCTTCCTTCAAGTCCTGCCTAAAATACCTTAAAGCAGAAGCCTTTCCTGATCTTTATTAAGTCTTGTGCCTTTTCTCTGTTGATGATGGTTTCCAAATTATCCTGTATATGGATTGTTTGTACATAGTTGTTTACTTGTTGCCTCTCATGTAGGACTGTGAGGTCCCGGAAAGCAGAACCAATTGTTTTCCTGTCTTTGTATCTCCAGTATTTTGTACGTAATAGACACTTAATACATGTTTATTGACTGAATGACTGGGATGGTGGAAGGAAGAGCACATACAATTTTTGTTTTCTTGCCTCATGGACAAAATTGACCAGTTATACTGCTATTTTTTTTGCCACAGTTTGATCTGTCTCCCTGTCTTTTTTCTCCTCTATATCCTGACCTGTCTATCTATATGAACTGTTCCAGCAAATTCTATAGTCCCTCTCCTTAAGATGCTTTCTAATTCCATGCAACCACCTTTCCCACAGGCAGAGCTCTCTTGATGTTTGTAACAACCCTGTCTGATAGTTTAGGCAGCTATTAGTATTCTTCCTATTTTAAAGAAGTACACAGTACCTTCTCTCTGGCCATATAGCTATCTTATGGTAGATTGAGGATTAGCTTCTGGATTTCAGGATACACATTCTGTCCACTCACAATACTGCCTGAATAACACAGTGAAATCTCTCTTATCACACATGGGATGCCTATATCCTACCCCCTTCCGAATATATATTCCTTCTGAAACAAGGATTCCTTTTGACATTTTTCAAGTGAGAAGTCAAATTATGAGACATTTACCACTAGAACTGCTGAATTGTGGAACCAATGAAAAACTGAAAGAACAATTTAACTTTGATCCTATGAGAGCATGCTCCCTTTTTTCCCTTTAAATTTTTTCCCTCTTTATTTATCTTCATTTTCCACTCTGCCCTTGAATGATTCCCTTGTCTATTTCATACTGCCTTCCCTGTTGGATCCTATAATTCCTTTCTTCTTTCTGAGCTGGGAAACCTCTTGCTGATTTCCTTTGGTTTAACTCTCTGCAGCTTAAAAGGATGGCTGCCTGCCTTTCTCCTTTGTAGTTGGGGTGGAGTTTATTGTTTAAAACAAGGGTTTTGACAAAGAAATCTCAGCAGGTTATACAACACCTTAATCTCCATACCTATACAGAGTTTGAAGTGGCCTAGAATAAGAGAAAACCAGGTTACAAAGGCCAGGAGTGAGTGTTCTATGGCTTTATTTTTTTTTAATCTTATTTTCTGCTGGGAAAATAAAATTCTTGATTTTTCAGTTTACAAGTTATTAATCATAAACATTTGTGCATTGTATCTGACTTTGTCTTTTCATCTTATACACTCACTATTTGCTTTTGCCTCGTTTATTTCTCTTGCCCTTTAGCTAACCCTGGTTTTTTATCTTTATTTTCCTTTTGTTTCCTTTCCCTGTGAACTTCATGGTTTCACCTATTTCTGAAATTGTGTTATCACCTGAAAATTATCTTACAAAATTTTGCTTTTTTATTGGACATTGGTCCCAATAAGTAATAGTGGATTGGTTGGGTGTCTGGCAACATGGAAAATCTTTCTAATTGGTCCAGGTGTGTTATGGGACATTTCCTCCTGCTGCTCATGTCCCCAGCCTGTACCCACTGAAGATTGGTGTGAATCTAAAATATCCAGGTTGTCTAAGCACTGCCAGTCCTTCCAAGGGAATGACGATATGTGCACATACACTTTGCTCCCTTTTCCTTTCCAAGATGACAAGAAGTCAGTGAATGAACATGTTCAGGAAGGATTTGAGAACAACTTATACAACAATAATATTGTAAAGACAAACAACCTTGAAAGATTCTGGACATCTGATCAATCCAGTGACAAAACAAAATTCAAGAGGATTTAATTAATGAAACATGCTACCCACCTCCTCATAGAGAGGTGAGGGGACTCAGAGTGCATATCAAGGCATACTTTTTTTTTGTGGACATGGCCAATGAGGGAACTTGTTTTGCTTGTCTATACATGTTTGTAATAGGAGTTTTGTTTTTCTTGCTCCACTTGGTAGTGGAGGAGGTGGAAAAGAAAGAATGTATACATGAAAATAAAATAAAATTGATTTCTAAAAAGGTTTTCATTCACTCTAGTTGTTATACACATAATTAAATTCTAGTTACTTATACACTCTGGACTTTCTCTACCTTGCCCCCATTTCAGGCACCTTTATCCTGACTATTTCAAAAAATGTGTCTTCCCTTATTAGAATGTACACTCCTTGAGGGCAAAGACTGCCTTTATTCCTGCTTGCATTTGTATTCGTAGCACTAGCAGTACCTGGAACATAGTAATATTTAATTAATAAATGCTCCTTGACTACCTGACTGGATATGGAACTTACCTATTTTTTTCCTGTCCCACAATATAATGCCAAATACATTAAAAGCGAATTTTTAAAACCTTCTCCCATTGCTATATGTGTAGTTCCTGGGTATTAAGAATTTATCTGATTCCTACACAAATCTGGCCATTTTGCTCGATGATCTTAGAAAAACATAAATAGACTGGCATGAAATAATGAAGAGCAAAATGAGCAAAACCAAGAGAACATTGTATACAGTAACAGCAGTATTGTTTTAAGAACAACTTTGAGTGACTAAATCATTTTGATATTGTAAATTGATGGTGTAAATATTATAAATGGAATATCATAAATCTCCCTTAGATATGAGGACTCATTTCAAAAGTGCAAATCACTAGTTATACTTTTTCTTTTTTTCCATGGGTTGCAATGGCCAAATAATTTATTATCCTGTGGCCAACCTACTGACAATGAGCTTTTCTGAGCCTGATGAGCTTTTCCACAATTAGCTAGGCTGGTCCTCAAAATGTGGCTTCAGTCTGTTTTGGGGGCCATACTTTCCTTTCCAACGTAACAAAACTCACCTGAATTTAAGATCACCTGTGGGCTACAATGAAGCATCCATAATAGGGCTTAGTGGAATGGGAAAAATGAGAAAATATTTACAGCAATGTTGTTTTAAGAACAACTTTGAGTGACTAAATCATTTTGACTGTTGTAAATACCCAAATTAACTATAACGGACATATAAAGGAAGATGCTATCTATATCCAAAGAAAGAACTGATAAAATAGAAGTATGTAAAGAATGATTTTA